TTTCGAATATTGATATTAAAGATTGGATCGATTTTCTCGGTCTGGCCATTTTTCTTTTGAAACAGGATTTAATATTTGTTTTTCTGGCAGGCTTGTGAGGAATATTTGGGTGACATTCCCAGTGACTTCTCCAGAAATTTTTATGAAGTGATAGTTCTACTGAAATTTTGGAGAATTTCGTAATTAAAAATTCATGATTCGATTAAATAATCGGGGAAACTGTGAATTGCAGTTCAAATATTCCGCGGAAATGAATGGAAATAGGGAAAATTTAGGCCGATGTTGGTGGTTGAGGGAATGATACAATTAAAATTGCATTCTGGTTGAAGATAAACAGAATTGAGAAAATGATCAGTGCAATTTGAAATTTTATCATTTTTCCTGCTAAATGGAATTTAATGTTGTTTTCCAGAAACCGGGCAATAGTCAAAATCGACTTATACCGGTTTACCACTCCACTACTGAATTCAAAATGCACAATTGGATGAAATAATCGCTGGAAACTGTCAACTTCAGTTGAAATATTCCACGAAAATGAATAGAAGTAAAAAAAATTCAAGTCCATGTCAATAGCCGGATAAATCATAAAAAATAAACTGCAAAATTGAAAAAAATCAATAATTGAAATCTCAAATTTCATCACTTTCTCCCTAAATCAAATTCGCTCTCATTCCCCTGAAAATTACTAAACGATCTCCAAAATTCCCCCTTCCAATCCAAAACGAACCCCATCCCTCCCTAACCCTCACCAACCGATTCCCACTAAACCCCATCCGCCAAAACAAAATCCTCTTCCCCTCGAACCCGACCTTTGAAATTCGCCAAAAAAATTGAATCCCCGTAATCTCCTTTCCCTTTGTCTCCCCCTCACCTCTATTTACCTCCCCAAACTCCCTGCGATGCATTTTTCCTTTTAAAACTCCTCGGCTCTTCCCTCTGTCTCCATCACACGTCTGAACGAGAGCTGAATGGGTTCGTTACCTCCGTAATTTCGTTTTTCTTGAAGTACTCGGCAAGTCGCGGCGTCATGCGTGGGCTTGAATCGCTCGTTAAGTCTTCCACGGCGTGGGTGACCTTTCGAAAAAAAAAAATGCACACAGAGGGGGAAGGGGGGATGAACAAAAGGGGCGGGAGGAAGGGATGCAGCATGTGCCGGAGACAAGAAGAAAAAACAAAGTGAAAATAATAGAGATAAAAGTGTTGAAGATGTGTGTCGCGTGGATAACAGATGCAAAATATTGTTTCCCCGCGATAAAAGGAGTAAAAATTATCACAATAAAAAGTGTATTTGACGATGTTGGCTCTTACGAAGGAGAATTAATAGCCCGGCCGGTGTTAATGGCCGTCAGAAGTTGGAGGAAGGCGCATCAATCTCATTTAAACGTTTTTCTCATCTTTATTTTATTCTTGTGACGCAAGACGTCATATAATTAATGGGTTCAAGGGGAGAGACACGTCTCTGGCGCCGGGACGGAGTGAAAAGAAAATCAAAGAGAGTTGATGTGGGAGAAAAAGAAATATTCGAGAGGCCGGAGCTCTCGGGTTCCGCCAATAATTGACGATGCGATAAATATTTAAACGTGTAGTTTTAACTGACAGATCTGATCCAAAATGAATGGCATTTCGGGAGGGGAGACTAATTGGGGGACACGGGCAGAGCAGGTGCGGTGGAGAGGTGAAGAATGAAGTGGAATTGAAAAATTGAATGAAATCCAAGGAAAATAGAGATAAACGCGAGAGGGAGAGAGACTCGTGTATTTTTCTCTCTGGGTAGACGCTGCTCGCCGCGCGGAACATGAAATGTATTCGTGATTTGCCGGTGCTTTGATGTCACTCTGATCCATTGGCGCATGGAAAAAAGGAGTGGAGGGGGAAGAAGACAACGTCGCGGTGGAGATTTATTTTTTAACTCGAGTTGAAATGTGAAATTTCTCTGGTGCATAAAGGAGTTGTCAGGTGGGGAGATATGTTAGGGGAGGGTGGGGCAAAACGGCCCCCCTTCAATTGTCAATAACTTGTGAATGACATTGTGAAAATTCCCAGTTTCAACTTCATTTTGAAGATAATTTTTCATTCTTCAAAACGAGCTCTAACTCATCCCAATCGGATTATTGAATCGGAAAATATTGACGATTGAAGGGGGGCCGTTTTGCCCCATCCTCCCCTACATGCGGATGGCGAGGAGGGGATTGTGGTGGATATCAGTGCTTTGTTGGTGGAAATGACCCTGACCCTTATATTACACTTAAGAGAGCTTGCTACAACCCGGCCTGATACTAAAGAATCATCTTCGAATTGAAATACCCATCCCCCAATTGAGTATAAAATATAGGGGACGGTGGGGCAAAATGAAACACGGGGCAAAATGAAACAGCAAGAAAATCTTGTGATCTAAGGGAGATAGGAGGATTTTCATGGAAATCTTTTTTGTAGAGAATTTTACAAGCTACAAAAAAGGTCCTCTTCAAAAATGTCCTATCTCCTTTAGATGACGAGATTTTCCCACTGTTTCATTTTGCCCCGTGTTTCATTTTGCCCCATGCTCCCCTACTGGATTCAAGTATATTTTCAATTCAGGTTTTTTTTCCGTGTTTATTTGAAATTTTTTACTTGCTTCAAAAAGAGGATTTAATTATACCAAATAAACAGTTGATTTATCCCAAATGAATAATTTATTTAAAATAAACAGAACCTCAAATAAAAAAAAAATTTTGAATTTAATTAAAAACTTCATTTCGTGCCATTTAAATAATCTTATTTGTTTGATTCAAGTCAATTATTTCTCTGGATGTAATAATAATTAACAAACAACAGTCAATTTCCGAAAAAAACAGAGTTCTGCGAAATTGAATGAAATAAAATTCTGAACTCGACCCAAACAGATCATTTTTTCCTCCATCTCGCTTCAAAAAGATTTAGAAGATGTTCCAACCATGGAAATGATACGGAAAACTTCAGTCAAAAGCGAAAACAAAGAGAATATCGTCGCGTGCAATTTAAATTTTTCCGACGAATTGTCGCGGTTTACGGGATCCTCAAACTGTTCCACAGTTTATGTACTTTTTTCCCGCTGTGAGAGGCTGGGTGGATATTCGAGGATTATATGAAAGTTATGAGAACTTCGAGGAACGCCTGGGACACAGTCTTCAATGCTCCTACGGAGGTGGTGTTTTCTCTGTACCTCAAGCCACGAAACAATTTCATTTATCGTGAGAAAAATAGAGGTTCAACTCTGGTGAACGAGGATACGACCATAAACTTTGTTGTGAGAGGGGCTTTCACGGTGCAACAGGGGACGGGAATTTTCGTGAAGAGCATGAAAATGAAAGGTTCCTTGATGCTGTCATTGCGGGGAAAAATGAAGGGCTCTACATCCATCAGACTTCAATTTCCTTCGGAATATTCAAACTTTTATGTTTGTATTTACCCCATTCTGCATTCAACGGTGGGTGCGTAATTTACGGGAGATTTCTTTGTCTGATAAGAAATTGCGAATGGGAAATGCGTGAGATATTTCCATTTTATATATATTTTTCTATCATTTTATTTTTAATTTAAATTTTCACAAAAATTGATTTTGATAAATATTTTATTTCATTCAGTAAAAGATTTATTTGAAATGAATAAATTGTTTCCTTGAATTTAATAAATTTATTATTGAGAATTAATGAATGTAGACTAATTATAAACAATATCATATAATTAAATCCTTTTTTTTAAACGAGTAAACAAATTTATTCATTTCTAACGACGACATTCTTGAGAAAAATGAAAAAATTCAAATAAAAATTTTTATTTGATTCAATCAAAGAATTTTTCCAAGTGTACTTCTACAAAGCTTTTTTAAACAGTATTATTTGGCGAACAAATGACTCCATCAGCCCCAGAATTAATGATCCCATCCTAATTAATGGCATTAGAATTTAAATTCGAACTGAAACGAATTTAACTGAATTTCCCCCGAAAAAACTTGTCATCCCCCTAATCCGGAGTCGCGCAATCTCATCAGCATCGCCCCATCATCCTCTCCATCAGCCGTACGTATAGACCTCGAGCATCCGTAAGAGATGAATAGACAGAACAGATCCACGGAAACCGCCAGAAATATGATACAAGAGGATGCCCAACATTGTTGGCATGGTGCGGAATAGGGTGAATCTCGTTAAATCTTGATAACCCCATCTACATGTTAATCCGATCAGGTAGACTGGCACTACGACATCAAAACCCCTCCCCCCCGTTTACCACGCGCAAAGGCTATTACACCATCTACTTTGTGGTCTCCGGGGTAGTTACAGTGAAAGCACTCCGGCTTCAATCCTGGGACTTCACTTGGGCTTGCTACGAGGTACCTGGGACTATCTCTCACTTCCCCCGCCCCCTTTCGCTCCTTTCCCTGAAGTCGCATTCAACTGTAACTCCCGCGAATCAAGGGAGGGATTTTCCTCGGCTGGAGAAGAAAAAATCGCGAAATGTTGTAATCAAGCCGGAAATCCCTGTTCATTCAGCTTTTCGGAGTCGTTTCCGCGAAGTTTCTGAAGGTGATGGAAGATATTCAAAGTGCTGGATGAATTAGTGTCTTAATTTAAGACTTGGGACACAAAAATGTGTTTTAATGTCTTCATAATTCGGCGACAAGTGAGACATTCTTCTCTCCCTGACTACGCCATAAATACCTTGAGACATTTTTTCTTTCTCAATGCGCGAGTCAAAATTAACGAGTGGGAGTTGTCTTAAAAATGTCTTGATAAATGGAGACAAAAGCCTATCAATTTCAGAGACCAGTTGGTCCAGCATTCCTCGACATTTACAAACGCCATGCTCACAATATCCACCCGAGACCGAAAATATGGAGCTGTTTGTGCTAGACAACTTCATACATTGAAAATTTAATAATTTCCGCCCGAAATCGACAATCTCCAGCTCTTGGTTTACATTATTGCATCCACCGGCTCGATCCTGCAAATATTGATTCTTTCTTTTTGTTTACTGTGTTTCAGTGCCAATCGCTGATGTTTACGGCGTGGCTGGACATAAAGTGCAGCTACCGTGTGACATTCAGCCGAGAAAAAAGGATCGAGTTGACATGGTACTCTGGTTTAAGGGCGAGGGTGGTCCACCCATTTACACGTAAGTTGAACATCATTATTTCCCGGTAGAGGTTTACAGCTCATATTCTGGGGAGTTCTTCGATGAGTTGTAAAACACTTCACTGCTCGCTAGTCTTGAAGCGAGAGTTAAAATTTCTGGCGGGAAAAAGCCGCGCGAATAATTTTTTTCACGTAAAGAAGTGGAAAATATTCATCTCATCCATTTTGATGGACCCGCATGGTAAATTTCCATCTCACGGGAGAGATTTTTGTGCAGTTTATTGCACTGGAAAAATTAGTGCCTGAAATCAAGACATTTTTGTCTCCTTTTTTAAGACGTTTTCTAATTTGAGGATGTCCAAGTACTTTAGCAATTGTTCTCCAGTGCAATGCTTTTCTACTTTTGAAGTCGAACATCAGAGCTTTCATTTGAGATTTTACAACGATTTTATTATTTTAAAATACGGACATCAACATTTTGAAAATCCGATACGGTTTGGGAAAGATTAAACCATTTCCATTATTTATTTATAAACAACGAATGTTTAAAAAATATTAATTCCGTGCAAAATGTAGCTCGAATGACGCTAAGTATTCATGATTTTTTTGTAATTTTCTCACGCCACTTAATGAACAAAATTGATGATTGAAAGTAGTTGAATCTACAGATATTTTTAAGGCGATTGAGCCGTTGGCTGAGTTTTCGGGGAATATCTGCGAATCTAAAGGAGATACCGAAATTTCCGTAATGACCTTTTTTGCAGAGCGAGTTAAGGGCTACAAAAAACGTCATAACAAAAATTTTGCTGTCTCCCTTAGATTTCGAGATATTCATTGAAAACTGAATACCAAAAAACGTTTTTTCAAATTTCCTCACGCAATTTAATCAACAAATTTGATGATTGAAAATAGCTGAATCTGTGCGGTCTATACCAAACTAAAAGATACTTGGATATCCTTAAACGTCACGTTTTAAGCCAAAAAACCTCTTATTTTCAGACGTTCGAAATTTCAGTCATCGCGACATCAGCCGACATTTCTATGTCTACTGTCCTAAATTACGCCGTCTTGAAGAACAAAGTTCCCACAGTACTCCCGATTCGTTTCGTAGTTTACCCCCAACTTTTGTCTCGTGAAAAAGTTCAATCACACCGCTAGTATATTATTAAAATCCTAAGGGAGTTGGAAAATTAGAAAGCTCAAGTTGCTTTGGCAGTTTTGGGAATAGCCTCTCCCGACGAGTGGTTGGCGTGAAATCTACACCCTCGTGTCACAGTCGCGCGAAGCAATTTAACTTCCAGCGAGCGGGAGAAGCAAGAGGCAAAACACAGTTCTCCCCGCTGGAGCCCCTGTAAACCTCTCCCACCTCGATTCGTACTTGTGTGACACTTTGCGATACTTAATATAAATTTCACGGGCATTAAAACCCGATCGAAACCTCGCTGAGTCCAATGGACCGACCCTCTCGTGACCTTTTCGAGGGGCAGGGGCGGTATCGATTGATTCTTTGATGGTGTTTATATTTCACTTTGTCTTGGGCCATTGGATTCCGTGAAGGGGGAATCGATGGTGCAGCCGTAGCTGTCGGTCAATATACCGAGAGAACTGACCGCAACCGCTCAATCTCACCCGCAGGTTCGACGTACGCCATAAGCAGTTGAGCAATGCCGAATTATGGTCATCGCCTCGGGTACTGGGTGCAAGGGCATACTTCATGACTGCCACACATCCAGCTCACCTCAGTATTGATAAACTTGAGACTGGTGACAGTGGATTGTACCGGTGTCGAGTTGATTACAGCAATTCACCCACTGCCATGCATCATGTTAATCTCATTGTTATAGGTACGTAAATAGTTGCTGATCAATTGTCCGAGGGCATAGCTTAGTAGTAAATTTCAGGACGATATTGATTTCGGTTTAAAGAAAAAATGTTGCTTCGTCGTAGAACAGAATGATGAATTAATTATCTTGAAAGCATTCACGAAATTTTCCGGCGAGTTAAATTAAAACGAGCTATTAATCACAAATGCAAGAATGAATTTTTCAATTCCTTCCAAATTATTTATACCCGATTTTGGCTGTTGGTCAGTTTTCAATGAATATGTCGAAATCTACGGGAGATAGCAAAATTTTTTCAAAACCTTTTTAGTAGCACTCACTTCACTGAGTAATTGCACAGTTAAGGACGATGATATTTTCGTTTAATTCCTCCCATTTCCCCTTCATCTCAATTACCATTGCGGGATTATCTCCAGAATGAGTCACACTATTTTTTAAAACAGGTTTTAACAATTTATTTTCTTTGTTACATTTTATAGAACTAATTGATAAAGTTTGGGTCAATGAATAACAAATTGTCGACGTTTTTGACTGTTCAGTTCCCCCGGAGAAGCCTGTGATCCGCCACCAGTCGTCCCGCAATATATCACTTGTGGAGGAAACCTACAACGAAGGAAGTGACGTGACACTCATCTGTGAGGCTCGGGGTGGCAGGCCTCCCCCTCGATTAACCTGGTACTACGAAAATAACGTCTACGATCTTTCGTACGAGTACAACAGTACAACTGATATCACAACGAATTTGCTCTATTACCCCAACATCGGGCGACAGCACATAAAAACTAGGCTTGTGTGTCAAGCCAACAACACCAACCTCGTGCCACCTCTGACGAAGCTTGTGATACTCGATGTTAACAGTGAGTATAACAACAATGACCCAGCGACTCTACTCCTGTAATTTTTTATCCATCAAACCGAAATTGTTGTGATGAAAAAAATAAACACGCGAGTCGACAGACATTGGGTCATTTGGAGAGACGACGGAGAACCCCATCTGATATTCATAATTGTCGGTTTTGTTGGGAGTGCGGCGACGTTGGGGTCTAATGAAAATTTAAAATGTTCGGCATTGAGTTCAGGTTTTAGAGTGTCAACTCGACATTTTGATTCGTCGGGATTATCAAAAGGTTTTTCTGGAGTTTTGTCGTGATTATGAAAATTGGATAGGCTGTTAGTTATCCAAAGAATCTAGTTCCTGTTTAAAATTGGAGAATTTTTTTTATATATACTGGTGAACGAATTCGGCTGGATTTTCAGGGAGAAGAGGGCGAATTCAATTTGAGGGGAAAGGGGAATGGAATTTCAAGTTTGTGTGGAAATTCAAGTAAAGTCGCATTTTTTAGCGGCAGGAAGACGGATATTTGACAGTTTACATGAATTTTTAAGTGGAAATGAATATTCACTTTCAAATTCCCTTGCATTTTCAGGGAATGACTTTAAAATTCTTGGAATTACAAGAATTTTTGAACGAATTTTACTGATTTTTCCGGAAGTAACTGAACTGAAATTTACAGATCTCAAAGCGACAAAAAAGTTAACCAGAGGAATCTGGAGTTCAAGGAAAGATTTCTCTGAATTTTCCTGATTTTTCATTAATTCCCGGGAAGTAATAAAACTGAAATTTACAAATCCGTGAAATTGACGAAATTCCTTGAAATTTCAGTGGAAATTTTTTTACAATGGATAAGAATGTGGAAAATAAGTACTTTATGGAGCTGAAAATGAAGATTATTTGCTAAATACTATTTGGTAAATACTTCCGGACATAAAATCGAAACTTAATTAATTAATGAAAATTGATTTTCCGCAGCGTTTTTGATAAGAAATATTTCGATAGCTCGTTCTTTTCTTCTGCGTTTCCACTCCTACAATTTTTTATCCATCAAACCGAAATTGTTATGACGAAATAAAGCACGCGATTCGAAAAACATTAAGTCATTTGAAGGAACGACGCAGAACCCCATCTGATATTCGTCATTACGTTTTTTGTCGGGAGTGTGGCAACATCGGTTTCTAATGATGATTTAAAATGTTCGGCATTGAGTTCGGTTTTTAGAGCGTCAACATCATCGCCATTAGCAAAAGGTTTTTCTATAGTTTCATCGTAATTATGAAAATTGTAGAGGTTGTTACGTCCCCGAAAACATCCAGTTCCTGTTTGAAATTGGAGATAATTTTTTTTTAGTTTAATATATGACGATGTGGAAAGTAGCGTTTCATCGCGGTGAAAATGAGAATGAGTAAAAGATATGAATATAATGAATTTATGAATACTACCTGAATTAATTAATGAAAATGAATTTTTCCGAACGGTTTTTGATGAGAAATATTTCGATGTCATCATGAACTTGGCCTAATGTTGCGAAAAAATTGAAAAAGTTCAAAGATAATTAGGACGTAATTTTAATTACAGAAAACGGCAATCTCGTAACATTCGTTAAATTTTCAATTGAACTTGATTATTCAGAACCTCAATTTTTATGGAACAATTGCCCTCAAATTAACATCTTTCATTTACTTTCCGATTGAATCATTGAAAAATCATCGGAATGTTAGATTTTTCAGGAAAATCTCCTGCAAATTACAGGTTTCACTGAAAATTCAGTAAAATGCCAAAATGTTAAGCTGCATAAAGACTAGAATTACCTAATTTATTTCCATTTGCACTCTAATTCAGTGCGAAATTGCATTTAATTTTCAGTAAAATCAGAAATTAATTATTTTTCCCCTTAAATCGCATTCATTGTCACTATTCCGAAAATTCAAGAATATATTCCGGAATTTTCTGGTTGTCTATTCATTTTCATGGAAAAATTCAACAGAAATTTCCAGTTCTCCTTGATTTTTCCCCGAAATCCTGAATTTTCAATGACGAAATTCCCTGAAATTCCCGTGATAATTAATTCGATAAAAATTTCCAAAAGTGTACCTGAAATTTCCAACAAAAATGTTCAACAGTCCCCCAAAACAGTTTCCCAAACTCTTCATTTCCAATAAAAATCAAACTCAATTATCGTTTCAATGGACGACAATACAAGCACTCCTTCATCCTCCCCACTCGCCCATTAAAATTGCAATTACGTATGCGTCAAAGTCCGTATCGAGTGTGTGTTACCAGTGAGTAGACAACAAAAGCGACAGGACAAGAGGCGTATCACGTGTTGAACCTGTTAGTCCCATGCGGTAGATTTCCCGTAAGAGATAACAGTAACGCCTCTTGTAAGACGGATCAGTGAATTGCGTGTCGGTGCCATTCCCTCATCCCCACCCCTTCAATTTGATTTTCACGTGTGCGCCACTTGGCATCAGCGACAGAAAATCCCCCGAAGA